GGGGGGGGGACTTAAAAAATGTTTTCCTTCTTTTTTTTCCACTAAACTTTATTGCTATCACATATGGGGGCTAATAAACCCCCCCTATGTGATAGCAAAATATGTGACAGGTCCTCTTTATGGAGACAGGGGTCTCCAAGACCCCTAATGTCACCTAGGACCCCCCAAAAGAAGCTGATGAAGCACAGATCTGCTCCATCAGCTTCTTTGCAGCTTCTGAAGCTGGAGAGTGACTCAAGAATGCGGAAGTGATGTAATAAACAACACTTCCACATTCTTGCAGAGGAGAGGGAGCTTGTGTACCGAGCTCCCTCTGATCTCCTGTGACACAGGCGACATGCTGATCCCGGGCTCGCACCGGGCACAGCGGAGCCCGGGATCAGCGGGACAACGGTAAGTATAGTGGGGGAGGAAGAGGGGGTCAGATTTGTGAACTCAACTTTTAATGCACATTGTGTTAGAGTATTAATTGTTTTAAACACAATGCCCTACATGTGCATTTATTTGCATGCAGGTGGCGGGGGTTGGTTTTAATTTTTTCTTTATTTTATTAGGTTTTACTTTTTTCACTTATTTAAAAAAATATATATTTTATCTTTTTTACTTTTTATTTTGTTTACTTTTTATCACTTTTTTTAAATTTATTAAAATATTTTTAATTTCATTTAGCAATTTCTTTTTTTTTTTACTTCACTTTATTGCTATCTCACACTCCAATGCAGGAGCCCTGTGACAGGAAGGCTGTGTGTACAACATTCTTGTCTCAGTGTTAACACAGCCTACAGCCACCAAAATCACTTGACCGTCTCCCCTGCTCATACATTTAGCCCTGCTTGCCCAAAGCAGGGCTAAATGTAGAAATAAACCACTCGCCTGCTCTCTGTTCCTCCATGGCCGCAGCTGCTGCAGCAACTTCTGGTGGCGTAGCGGTAGAACTGACACTGCCGCGCTAGGAGTAGGCTGAGGAGCCTCTCGCCTAGAGCAGCAGAAGGCATGCGGCAACTCACTTAACAGGGGTTTGCGACCCACAGCTTGAGAACCACTGCTCCAGAAGGTAGGACAGTGTCAGCATGAATTCAGAGATGATTGGAGGATCTACAGCTGAGTGATACACACATAAGGTACATTTCTGTTACAAGTTCAGGTACCTGAATATATTTTTAAGATTTAACTCCTGAATTTAGTGTCACTTTAAAGGATTTCATGCAGATTTTAAATTTTTATAGGAAAAAAGAACATTGTTCCCTCTCCGGTGTCAGTCATTTTCTTTTCTTTAGTGTTATTCAGATGTCTGTAATGTGCAATTGAAGAGAGGCAAAAAATAAAATTGCTGCTTTACTTGCCAGTGGTTGCCCACACATTTTTTTTTTTTAATTAGTGATGAATTTTGCTGCTTTTGTTTGGGCATTAAGCTACAGAACATCCAAGATGGAGCATTCTTTTTGGTTTAGGCTTTGTTTGTAAGTGATTATATAGCATTGTGACAGTGTGATCCTTTTGTCTAAAACCTTCCTGCGCTAATAGCTACTTTAATTGCACATGGTACATTAGAACTCAAGAACCGGAGGGAAAAGACTATTACAGTTTAATTAGGAAGAATGGCAGTGCACCTCCATCAGTCAGTGATTTGTTCAGGTTGGTTTGCTGTCGCATAACAAGATGTGTGTTAGTTTATGTTGTGTTATTTGGCCCTCTTAAAAAACATCAATTACATGGATTATTGGAACATGTCGGCTGATTTTTATAACATTGAAACAAACCGAAATGGCACATTTCCCTTAGGAACCAATCAAATCCTGAATTTAATTTCCTCACTGTAGGCTACGTGCAATAATCCTACATACAGTCACATTTATTTTTTGTGAATATACTCCCAACTGTCATAGATCCATTAAAAAAATTTAACTATTGACGGCAGCATCACAGTTAGCAAGCACCAAGTCAAGTTGGCAGCTAGGCAGGTGTCGGTCATAGAAGTGCAGAAGATGCATTTTTGCATAGCAAATAAGCCAGTGGCTTTGGCATGTTTGTCTTGTTTAATTACATTGCCATATTTAAACACTTGCTTTATGACATTGTGTTATACACTACTGCCTCTTTTTGACAAGCTATTAATGTTCCTTAATTGCACAATGTAATGTGTGTGTCGTTGTCATTAACCCAAGTAAAAATATTGTTATTTAGCTTTTCTTAAAGGGGTATTTATTTCATCCTCAGTTGTCCCTGTGTCTGGTCTGCTGTGCATATATATGTCTATGAAAAGGTTCTATTTACCGTCCATAAATTTTATTCTACACTAAAACCTTAATTCTTTCTTTTAATT